TGCTGCTGCTGCTGCTGATTATTGTTGTTGTTGTTATTGTTATTATTGTTTTGTGGGGTGGGGAGGGGGGGGAGGGGGAGGTGGTGCTGGTTTGGGCGCTGTTTGCTGGGCTGGAGGGCGTGGGCTGCTCGTGAAATAGCGGCTAAGCTGCTGCTGCTGCTGCTGCTGCTGCTGCTGCTGCTGCTTGTGCTGCTGCTGCTGCTGCTGCTGCTGCTGGGGTTTAGGGTTTGAAGGACCTGCCTGTGGAGAACGCGGAGCAGCGCGTGGGGGTGGAAATAGTGGAGAAGGCCTGCCAAGTTCCTTGCAAACTTATTGCTGAAAACGCCGGCCACGAAGGTGCTGTTGTAGTTGGCAATTTGCTGCGGCAGAGCAGCAAAACTTTCGGCTTCGACGCTCAAAACGGAAAATACGTCGACATGATCGAAGCCGGTTCGCCCTGCTGCTGCTGCTGCTGCTGCTGCACCTGCTGCTGCTGCTGCTGCACCTGCTGCTGCTGCTGCTGTTGGCGGCGGCGGGAGCGCCGTGCTGCTGCTGCACGTGCTGCTGCTGCTGCACTTGCTGCTGCTGCTGCTGCTGCTGGCGGCAGCGGGAGCGCCGTGCCGCTGCTGCACGTGCTGCTGCTGCACTTGCTGCTGCTGCTGCTGCACTTGGTGCTGCTGCTGAGTGCGGGGTTTGCTGCTGCTGCGGGGGTTTGCTCAGGAATAATAGACCCGACGAAGGTGGTGAAGACAGCCCTCAGCGACGCAGCTTCTGTTGCTTCTCTTATGGCCACAACTGAAGCAGCAATAGTCGACGCCCCAGAGCCGAGAGCAGCAGCAGCAGCAGCAGACCTCGCGGGCAGCCAGGCCGGCGGAATGCCCATGGGCGGCATGTTCTAACCAGCAGCACAGAAATACCAGCAGCAGCAGCAGCACAGAAATACCAGCAGCAGCAGCACCACAGAAAGGTACCAAAGGGGCCCCCAGCGGGGTCTGGGGGGCCCCTGGGGGGCCCCTGGGGGGCCCCTACGGGGCCCCTAGGGGGCCCCTAGGGAGGCCTTTCGGGGGGCCGAAGGGGGCCTCTAGGGGTTTCCATGGGGGCCCTAAGGGGCCCCTTAGGGGGCCCCTGGGGGGCCCCTTTAGGGGGCCAATGGGGGGCCCCTGGGAGCCCTCTGAGGGGCCCCTCAGGGGGGCCCTTTAGGGGCCCCATGGGGGTTATGGCCCTGTGTGGCTGGGCGGGGCCCGTGCTGCAGCAGAGCGGTTGCTGCAGTGCTGCTGCTGCTGCAGCAGCTGCTGCAGCAGCGGGGCTTTTAAGGGCTGCAGCAGCAGCAGCTCGTGCTGCTGCAGCAGCAAAGAAGACGCGGAAGCCGCAGAAAACCGAAGGTGGCTGGGGTGTACGTACACCCGGCGCACTTATTGGCTCGGGGCCTGGCCCCTCTTTTACTCTTAAGACTTCATTAAGTTTGGCGGAGCCTCAGCTGCGAAACCCTAAACCCTAAACCCTAAACCCTAAACCCTAGCTGGTCAAACCCTAGCTGCGCCGTCCGTCGGCTACCCCGCACACAGCGCCTTCTTCGCCCGCCCGGGACACCAGAACCCCAAACCCTAAACCCTAAACCCTAAACCCTAAACCCTAAACCCTAGCTTGAACGCGAACACGAGTCTGTAAACAACGCCCAGGGGCCTCTACAAGCCGTCCCATTGGGGGCCCCCCACTAGGGGGCCCCCATTTAAGGGCCCCCAACTAGGGGGCCCCCACTTGGGGCCCCTAGATGGGGGCCCCCATTGGCGGCCTAAGAGATGGGCCATCTGGGGGCCCCCAGGGGCCCCTCTTTTGGCTGGGGGCCCCCAGGGGCCCCTCTTTTGGCTGGGGGCCCCCAGGGGCCCCCCTTTTCGCTGGGGGCCCCCAAAGCCAGAGACAACACTGTGGGGGGCCCCCGCGCCTCGCCACTCTGCGCTGGGGGCCCTCTAACTACAGGGGGCCCCCCGGGGGCCCCTGGGGGGCCCCCCAGCCCCCAGGGGGCCCCCTAGGGGGGCCCCGTTGGGCCCCTTACTAAAGGGGGCCCCCATGGGGGTACCCTTTCTTCTGAAGGCCCCCAACGAAAGGGGGCCCCCAGGGGGGCCCCTCTACATATATATGAGGGCCCCTGAATAGATTTTGGGGCCCCCCTGGGGGCCCCCCTAAATAGAAGGGGCCCCCTTGGGGGGCCCCCCTAAATAGAAGGGGCCCCCCTGGGGGCCCCCCAATTAGAAGGGAAACCTAAAGGGCCCTTTGAAGGGCCCCCAATGGGGGCCCCTTAACTGGGGCCCCTAATTGGGGTTTAGTTCATTTATGTAGCGGCTACTGGGTGGTAAGGGCAGCCCCCAAACCCTAAACCCTAAACCCTAAACCCTAAACCCTAATCTTCGAAGGCCGAGCTGACTCCTAGTGGCTTTTATACCACCGAAAAAAGTAAAGGAGAGCGCCGCCTGCATAACAGAAGCATCTAATAACCCTAAACCCTAAACCCTAAACCCTAGCTGCAGCCGCAGGCAGCGCATATGGGCCCAAACCCTAAACCCTAAACCCTAAACCCTAAACCCTTCAGCCTCTTGGGTTTATAAATACCTGCAAGAAGTCCGAGAAGGAGGGAGCCGCTCACGCCGTCTGCACAAACACCCCAACCCCCAATCCCTAAACCCTAAACCCTAAACCCTAAACGCTAAACCCTAAACCCTAACGCCAAGTCCCAAGCCACAAAACCTTTGCTGTCGCCTCAATCTCCACGCCTTTAGCTGCACAGTGTAGACGCCGGACTGTAAACCCGCCACCCCAATCCCCAAACCCTAAACCCTAAACCCTAAACCCTAAACCCTAAACCCTAACCCTGAGCAGCAACCCCCAGCTTCTTACCGTAGGCTGCCCGGTCCAATATAAGGCTGTGCAGAGATAAGGCTGATAGGTTGCGAGGCTCCTGAACATCCAAACCCCAAACCCTAAACCCTAAACCCTAAACCCTAAACCCTAAACCCTAGGCCCTTCGCCACGTTCCTCCCCGCACGCGCCCCTGCGCAAGCATTCGCTCAAGTCTAGGGCTACGGGTGGCCTGCTAGGGTTTAGGAGCTGCTAGGGTTTAGGGTTTGGGGTTTAGGGCTGGCTAGGGTTTGGGGTTTAGGGTTTAGGGTTTAGGGTTTGCCACCATTCGAAGGAGGGTTTCCACTCTTCGCTTCGCAAGAGAGTAATGGCCCAACTTCAAGTACACCAGCGCCAGCTGGAACAGGCAGTCCGACCTAGCGCGCAAACCCTAAACCCTAAACCCTAAACCCTAAACCCTAAACCCTAGACCCTAAACCCTAAACCCTAAACCCTGTTTAAGCCCTCGCCACCCACCTAGCCCCAAGTGCTCGCCGCACGGCGCCCTCGCGCCCGCGCATTCTCCCCACTGTCCACCCCCAAACCCTAAACCCTAAACCCTAAACCCTAAACCCTAAACCCTAAACCCTAAACCCTAAACCCTAAACCTAAACCCTAAACCCTAAACCCTAAACCCTAAACCCTAAACCCTAAACCCTAAACCCTAAACCCTAAAACAAAACCCTAAACCCTAAACCCTAAACCCTAAACCCTAAACCCTAAACCCTAAACCCTAAACCCTAAACCGCAAACCCTAAACCCTAAACCCTAAACCCTAAACCCTAAACCCTAAACCCTAAACCCTAAGCTGACCACTGCCTGCAAAACCCGATTTCCAGCAACTCCGTGAGCAAGTCCACGGAGTCCTTTAAGTCCCTTTTATTTGGAGAGCAAATTAGCAAAGAAGCAAATTCGAACTGCAGCCGAGGGCAGGGGCAGCCGCTCTCCACTTGCTGCAGCCAAACCCTAAACCCTAAACCCTAAACCCTAAACCCTAAACCCTCAATTCTGGATCTTGAAATACAGCTGCACGATTATATGCATGTGCGCACGAGTAGAGATCTGGAAAAGCAGCAGCAAGTGAGCAGCAGCAGCAGCAGCAAGTGAGCAGCAGCAGCAAGTGAGCAGCAGTAAGAGAGCAGCAGAAGCAGCCTAGCGGAATCAACTAAGCAGCAACAGCAACACAGCAGCAGCAAATGGAAAGCAACAGCAGCAGCAGCAACTAAGCAGCAGCAGCAACTAAGCAGAAGTAGCAGCAACTAAGCAGCAGCAGCAACTAAGCAGCAGCAGCAACTACGCAGCAGCGGCTACTACGCAGCAGCAGCAACTAAGCAGCAGCAGCAGCAACTAAGCAGCAGCAGCAGCAACTAAGCAGCAGCAGCAGCAAAGCAGCAGCAAGACCAGAATGTCCCACCTCGATGTACTTGGCTCTTAGGGCGTCTGTTTCTGCCCTGAGATCGAAGCCGAGGGCCCCGCTCATCTTCTGGCCAAACCCTAAACCCTAAACCCTAAACCCTAAACCCTAAAGCCTAAACCCTAAACCCTCGCCGCTGCGCCGCAAACCTCCATGCGCGGGCCAGGAGGAGGAAAAGGAACTTTTGGAAAATGTAATGGCAGCAGAAATGCAGAAAAGCAAAAATGAAAACGGGGGCAAGAGGTTAGGGTTGCTGAGGTGTACATACACCTCAGCGGCTAAGGCGCGAGCCGACAGCCGCAGAAGTGAAGGCGCTGCTGCGCAGCCTCGGGCCTCAACCGAAGCCCTCAGTGGAAACCCTAAACCCTAAACCCTAAACCCTAAACCCTAAACCCTAATTTGGGGGATTGTGCACAGGACACGGCGGCGGCGCAGCTGCTGTGCGGCGCTCGGCGCCCCCAGCCCCAGCAGCTGCTGCAAGTGGATTTGGTTCTTCTGCTGCATTTTCTCTTCTTCTTCGAAAAGAACTTGTAAAATAATATTCTAAATTTGCAAAAAGTAAATCTGAACAGCTTCTGTGCACCCCCGAGTCCCGGAGGCTGCCGCTTCTGGCTGCGCGCGGCTGCGGAGCTGCGTGTACACCTGAAAAGCCAGGGTGTATGTACACCCCAGCGCCCTCCCCTCGAGTCCCAGCTGCTCATTTTTCGTCACTTCTTTTCTTTTTGTCCTTCTAAATGCTTCCCTGGCTGCCGGCTGGGGCGAACGAGTCGTTCACTGTGCAGGCTTGAGGTGTATAGACAGCTCGCAGCAAAATGCTCGCTGTGGCCACCCGGGGCTTCGCAAGGCGCCCCACAGCAGCAACTACTGCAGCAGCAACAACTGCAGCAGCAGCAGCAGCGGGACCCCCCGCAACTGCAGCAGCAGCAACAACAGCAGCAGCTGCCACGGCAGGCACCCCCAGGCTCTTCTCGGGCGTCAAGTTTCTTGAGCAAAAAAGGTCCGGCGAGGAGACTGTCTACTTCAAGAAAGAAGGCAAGTCATCTGCTGCTGCTGCTGCTGCTGCTGCTGCTGCTGCTGCTGCTGCTGCTGCTGCTGCTGCTGCTGCTATTTGAGATCCATTCGCACCAGCGAAGGCGTTTGCTTCTTGCTGCGGCGGCCAAGTGTGCTGCTGCTCAAAGCAGCAGCAGCAGCAGCAGCAGCAGCAGGAGTGCATTTAAAGGGCAGCTGATTTTATTTGTCCTAAGTGCTGCAAGTCTCAAAGACATTTTGCTGCCTTTGCTGCTGCACTGCAGCAGCAGCAGCAGCAGCAGCAGCAGCAGTTGCTGCTTCCGGCCTTTGTGTTTGCGCTTTTGGGGTGTACGTACACCCGATCGCCCCCCGCAAATGCAATTAAATAACTTCAAATAATAAATAAATAAATAAATAAATAAATAAATAAATAAAAATAAATAATAAATAAATAATATAAATATAATTCAATGTGACATATTCATATACAAAAGCCAAATATTAAGCATCTCGAAAGCCGCATTAAACATCGCAATTAAAACTTTGAAAGTTTATTCATCAAAAGTCCTCAACAAAATAAAACTCCACTTCCCCTTTCCCAAAACCCCGCCGCCGCCGCTGCTGCTGCTGCTGCTGCTGCTGCTGCTGCTGCTGCTGCGCTGCTGCTGCTGCAGACGAGGCGCTGCTGCGGCGGCTGCTGGCCAAACACCCCGAGGCGGACCCCCGCTACCGCAGCACGGGGGGCCCCGCGCTGCTGCAGCCGCTGCAGCCGCTGCAGCAAGCCATTTCTTTATCTGTGGCGAAGCATTTTGCTGCTAAAGCTTCTAAGGCTTTTCTTGAAGAGTTGCCGCTGCTGTTTGCTGCTCACGGCTGGCAGCCGCCGCCCGAGCACAGGGCCCTGCTGCAGCAGCAGCAGCAGCAGCAGCAGCAGGCCCAGGGCCACAAGCGCGACGGCTAGCTGCTCGCTAGCTGGCTAGCTGCCTGGCTAGCTGCCTGGCTAGCTGGCTAGCTGGCTGGCTGGCTGGCTGGCTGGCGGGCTAGCGGGAGCGGCGGAGGGTTGGCCAGCTAGCTGGCTAGCTGGCGAGCCAGACGGGTGGGGAGCTAGCTGGCTAGCTAGCTAGCTAGCTAGCTAGCTAGCTAGCTAGCTAGCTAGATGGCTGGCTAGCCAGCTAGCTGTAGAGCCCTGCTTCCGAGTCAGCAACTTGGCGAGTCAAACACAAGGGCCCTGCTGGGAAAACGGCCTGCCGGCCAGCCAGCTAGCTGGCTAGCTAGCTAGCTGGCTAGCTGGCTGGCTAGCCGGCAAGCTAGCTAGCCAGCCAGCTAGCTGGCTAGCTAGCTAGCTGGCTAGCTGGCAGGCAAGGCAGCAGTTAGAAAGACGGGCCTCATGTTAGCACGCAGTGAGAATTCCACTTGCTGCGAGACGCCCAGTGAGCGAGCAGCTAGCCAACTGGCCAGCTTGCTGCTGGGTTGGCTAGCTAGCTAGCTAGCCAGCTAGCCAGCTGAGCAGCTAACTGGCCCAGCTATCCAGTCAGCTGGCCAGCCAGCTAGCCAGTAAGCTAGCTAGCGAGCCAGCTAGCTAGCCTAGCTAGCGAGCCAGCCAGCCAGCTAGCTAGCTAGCTAGCTAGCCAGCTAGCCAGCTAGCTAGCTAGCCAGCCAGCTAGCTAGCAAGGGCAGGCGTGCGGGGCTCCGGCCCGCGCAACTTCGTAACTCGCACTTTATGTCTCGCGGTAGCTGTATGACTTCCCTTATTTGCTGTTCACCTTTACAATAGCTGCTGCTGCTGCTGCTGCTGCTGCTGCTGCTGTGTTGCTGCTGCTGCTGCTGCTGACTGCGGGCGCTGACACGAGCGCATGCAGAGGCAACTCCCGCTTCTGCTGCAGCTAGAGAGCAGCAGCAGCAGCAAAACACATTAGAGGCAAGCTGCTTGCAAGTTGAAGTCAATGTATAACGGAGCTTACTGGGAAACGGAACCCTAAACCCTAAACCCTAAACCCTAAACCCTACAACTTAATAATGTACTTCATCAGCCCAAACACCCGGGGGCCCCAACTAGCGAACAAGACAAGAAACAAAACAAATAGTTACAAGCAGCAGGGGCCCCCAAGGACTTACGGGGGCCCCTAGGGGGGCCCCTAGGGGGGGCCTCGGGGGGCCCCTGGGGGCCCCTGGGGGCCCTCAGGGGCCCCGAGGGGACCCCAGGGTACTTAGTGCGTGGACGCTGGCTTTGAGCAAGTGCCTTATTTCGTGCAGCAGCAGTTGCTGCTGCTGCAGGTGGCTGGGCAGCAGCAGCTGCTGCTGCTGCTGCTGCAGCTGCTGCTGCTGCTGCAGCGCCTCGCTCCAGCTGCTGAGGGCTAAAAGCAGGGGCCCCATGTGGGCCCTCAGTTTGCCGGCGGGGCGAAAGTCCGATAAGAAGACCCGCAGCAGCAGCAGCAGCGCGTCGCGCAGCGCGCGCGCCCAGCATGCCCCCTCTTGCTGCTGCTGCTGCTGCTGCTGCTGCTGCTGCTGCTGCTGCTGCGTATCTCTCAGGAAGAGGGGATTTGCTGGCAGCAAGGAGTCCTGTGGCGCGAGGCGAACGACCAAGAGGAAGTAGAGAGCGTCAGGAAGCGTGGCGGAGTGCTGCAGCAGCAAAAGCGCCCTTGCTGCTGCTGCTGCTGCTGTTGCTGTTGCTGCTGTTGCTGCTGCTGGAGTTTGTCGAGACACAGAGGGCCCTCTTGGGCTGTAAAAAGGCGAGACCTGCAGCACCTCTTCGTTCTGCTGCTCCCCATGGCGCGTGCCTGCGTCTGCTGCTGCTGCTGCTGGTCCCGCTGCTGCTGCTGCTGCTGCAGTTACAGACACCAGGAAATGCAGCAAGGCAGCAACCAGCTGCAGCGGCAGCTCGGGCAGCAGCAGCGGCGCCACAAACTCTTCCAGCGACTCCTTCGGGCTCAGCCCAGGCAAAGCTCCTGCAGCAGCAGCAGCAGCAGCAGCAGCAGCAACAGCAGCAGCAGCCCGAAAATGCCGTCAGGACACTTGGAAAAAGTTTCCCAACTGCAGCAGCATCAGAGCCAGCAGCAGACGGGACGATCAATTATAGATCTACAGTTGCAGCAACAGCAGCAGCAGCTCCTCAGTTGCTGCTGCTGCTGCTGCTGCTGCTGCTGCTGCTCTTGTGCTCAGCGGCTGTCTCTAAAGACAGTCAAAACTGCACTAAAGCCTCAAGGGGGCCCCTCTAGGAAGCTTCACTCTGGGGGCCCCCAGGGGGGCCCCAGAGGGCCCCCTAAGGGGCCCCTTCAGGGGGCCCTGAGGGGCCCCTTTAGGGCCCCCTTGGGGGCCCCCAGAGAGCACCCAAAGGGTACAGTGTTTGCTGCGGAGGCAGAGATGGCCTACCTGCTGCTGCAGTCGAGAAAACGGGGCCTAGGGCTCGTCGGTCTGCTGCTGCTGCTGCTGCTGCTGCTCCCAGACACTCCAGCTGGGCAGACAGCAGCAGCACATCAACGGGGTTGAGGGCAGAGCGCCAGCGGCCAGCAGCAGCAGCAGCAGCAGCAGCTCCTGCGAGCCTTCTGCTGTAGCTGCTGCTGTTGCTGCTGCGCTGCAGCAGCTGCTGCAGCCGAGGCCTCAGAGAAGCAGCAAGGGCTCCTATGAGCTGCAGCAGCAGAGGCCGTTCCAGATTGGCGTCTACGGTGTGCTGCAGCAGCAGCAGGACGCAGCAAAGAAGGCGCGGCGGCAGCTTCTGCTGCCGGCTCCTGCTGCTGCTGCTGCTGCTGCTGCTGCTGCTGCTAATTGAATTGCAGACGGAATCCACAAGAGCAGCAACAACTCCAGCTTCCTGCAGCCTTAGCCGCAGCAAGGCCTCCCCTGTCTGCAGCAGCAGCAGCCCTGGGGCCCCTCTAAGCTCGCTTCTGCTGTGGGGCATCAGCAGCAGAATTTCTTGCCTAGCAGCTACGCACCGAAGCAGGAACTGCAGCAGCTGCGTGCAGACAAACAAGCAGCAGCAGCAGCAGCAGCAGCAGCAGCAGCAGCAGCTTGTCTCAGAGACAGCACCAGGCAGTTCCCCTCCCGCTATTCTACAGTAAAAAAGACCCCCAACAAACCCCTCTTGCGTTGTGCTGCTGCTGCTGCTGCTGCTGCTGGTGTGGCTACTGGTGCGGCATTTGCTGCTGCGGTGCTGCTGCTGCTGTGCTGCTGGGCTAGAATGAAGTACCAGGCTCAGCAGGGTTTGCTGCAGAGAGCAGAGGCGCCACAGAGCACTAACTGCAGCAACAACTGCCCCAAACGGCAGAGCAGCAGCAGCAGCAGCAGCAGCAGCAAGCCCATCAGCTGTGCATGTAGACGCCGCCGACAGCAGCTGCAGCAGCAGCAAAACGCGGTGCAGCAGCAGGTTGCCGCAGCTACGCCCACAGCTGCTGAGACTGAGAAAGGACCGCAAGTCTCCCGGGTAAGCCTCTTGCTGCTGCTGCTGCTGCTGCTGCTGCTGCAGCAAGGGCTGAGGCTTCTGCTGCGCCCTCTGCGCACCAACAGCAGCAACATAGTTGAGCAAAGACGCAGCAGCAGCGCCGTGAAGAAGACACTCCAGCGCATTCACCAGGTGCGCCGGCAGCAGAGTCGGCTTCTTGCTGCTGCTGCTGCTGCTGCTGCTGCTGCTGTCGGGGTAGGGGATGAAGCGCGTCCACGCTGCTGCAGTTGCTGCAGTTGGGTGCCCCGCAAACAGCAGCAGCAGCAGCTCGCCCAGCGTGTGCAGCAAACAGCTGTTGCGGAACTCCTCGCGGTTTTGCTGCAGCACCAAAGACTCGCTTTCCCCTGCAAAGCCCTGCTGCTGCTGCTGCTGCAGCCATCTGTGGCTGCCTTCTACTGCCGGTGCTGCTGCTGCTGCTGCAGAGTGCATTGACAGCTGAGAAGCATTCAAAGGACTGCTGCAGCAGCTGCTGGGGGGCCGCTGCTGCTGCTGCTGCCTATAGAACTGTGGGGAGGAAGAAGAGGGCCCATAGACTTTGCTGCGGGCTCTTCCTCTGCTGCTCCCTGGACTAGAAGCAGCAGCAGCAGCTGCTGCTGCTGCTGCTGCGGTTGCTGCAGTGCTGTGCCGCCTCAAGCTCGAAGGTGGCCGCTGGTGTATAGACACAGCGCATGCAGCAGCAAGGCTGCGGCAGTGCAGCTGCTGCAGCAGCAGAGAAGCAGTAGCGGAGAACAGCCCCGCAGCGAGCCGCGGGTCGGGCGGCAGCAGCGGGGACTCACACTGCTGCTGCTGCTGCTGCTGCTGCTGCTGCTGCTGCTGTGTGTCACTTTTCCTGTACAGCTGCAGGTGTTCGTGTGGCAGCGGCGGCAGCAGCGGCGGCAGCTTTAACGGGCAGCCCCCGAAGAAAGAAGAGGGCCCCCCAGAGGGGCCCCAGAGGGGCCCCCAGGGGGGCCCCCAGAGGGGCCCCCAGGGGGGCCCCCAGAGGGGCCCCCCCGGGGGGCCCCCCAGGGGGCCCCCAGGGGGGCCCCCCGGGGGCCCCCCTACTGCTTTTGGAATGTGGCTCTGCAGCGCGAGACGGCCAAGGGCCCTTTCGTAAGAGAGACGCAGCAGACAAACAGCAAGAGTTGCTGCTGCTGCCGGCAAAGGTGCAGCAGCGCCACTTCCACAGGGATGCTGCACAACATAAGCAGCAGCAGCAGCAGCAGCAGCAGCAGCAGCAGCAGTTGTAGAGGTGCAGCAGACGCGGGGGCGGGAAGGGAGAGGGGAGGGCTTTGGGAGGGAACTGGACAGCTGAGGCAGCTGAGGTGTACGTACACCCGAAAAACGTACTTGGAGGCATAACACAATCAGCAGCAGCAGCGAAGGAGAGGGCCAGAGGCATTCTGCTGCAGCCTGCTGCGCTGCTGCTGCTGCTGCTGCTGCTGTCGCTCCCTTCTGTTGCGTCCCTTGAAGCGCCTGCAGCAAGTCGTCGTCCAGCTGCTGCTGCTGCTGCTGCTGCCGCCGCCGCAGCGCTTCTCTTTGCTGCAGCA